ATGGACTACAGCACACCAGGCTTCCTTGTGCTTCACCTACTCTGGAGGTTACTCAAACTCATGTCCATTGAGTCAGTGATGCCATTCAGCCATCTCATCCTCTGCCGCCCCCTCCTTATCCTGCCCTCAGTCTTTCCCAGCATCGGAGTCTTTACCAAGGAGTCGGCTCTTTTCATCAGGTAGCCAAAGCATTAGAGCTTCAGCTTCAGCAGCAGTCCTTCCAATGCATATTCAGGGTTTTGATTTCCTTTCGGATTGACTGGCTTGATCTCCCTGCTTCCAAGGGACTCTCAAGAGTCTTCTCCAGCACCACAGTTAGAACGCATCAGTTTTTCGGTCCTCAGCCTTTTTTGTTGTCCAGCTCTCACATCCGTACATGACTACTGGAAAAACCATAAGTGGGCAGTATAGGTCCTCAGACACCATTAAGGCTGTCACCTGAGCTGCTTCCTAGAAGTACAGATGCCCTACCGCTGTGGCTGAGGTCCAGTTTCCTAAGTCTTCAGATGAGGCCAAGAAATCGAAATCTTACTTTTACAGAAGTGGTGACGCAGACAGTAAAGAACCTGCCTGCAATGCGGGAGACCAGGGTTCGATCCCTGGGTGGGGAAGATTTCCTGGAGAAGGGAATGGCAACCGACTCCAGTATTTTTGCGTGGAGAATTCCATGGACAGATGAGCCTCGCAGGCTACAAGCTATGGGGTCGCAAAGAGTCTGACACAACTAGGAGAATTAACACTTTCACATGATAAAGAGCATTTATGGGAAAACCTACAGTTAATATTCCACTTAATGGTGAGACGATACTTTGGCTTTAAGATCAGAAACAAGGTAAGGACACCATCTCCCACCACCTCTACTCTACATTGTACTGGAGGGGGCAGACGGTGCAAAAAGACGGATAATACTTTTGTCCTTAGAAGACATGATCCTTTGTAGAAAGTCGTAAGGAATACACACACACAGCAAAAACAAAACTGCTAGAATATGTTGAGCAGGTTGTAGGATACAAGATCAGTATACAAAAATTAACTTTATACTAATAACAAAAATGAAACTTAGAAAACTGCATTCAAAATAGCATCCCAAAGGATAAAATGCTTAGGAAAAATTTAATAAAACAAGTCCAAGCTTTTTACACTTTAGACTACAAAACATGACGAGAGGAAGGAAGATCTAAATAAATAGAGACTTTCCATGAAAATGGATTGTTAGACTCAATATTGTTCAGATAGCAATTCTCAAATTGATTAGAGTCAACACAATCCCTAAGAACAGGTATTTTTCTTCCTGGGGTACAGGAAACTAAGGAAGAACAAAAAACTATAAAAGTGTCAACTGGGATGATGCAGACTGTCTCTTATTTATTTGTTCCTCCTGACAATCATCCCCCTTCATGTATAAAATTCTGCAGATATTCTTTTGTGTATTCCTAAAAACAAAAACAAACACGAATACAAAAAATTTTTGCAAAATAGTGTTATAACTACTTGGAGAACCTAGTTAAGTCTATGAATTAGCCGGCAAGAATTCTGTCAATAAATCATCTAGGCAAACCTCTGTTGTTTTAGGAATTCTGTAAGATCCCTGACAGAAATGATCATTCAAGATTTTCTCGGAACTTCCTTGGTGGCCCAATGGTTAAGGATCTGCCTTGCAATGCAGGGTACATGGGTTCAATACCTGGATGCTCCATTGGGGAACTAAGATCCCACATGCCTCATGGCAAAAAAGCAAAACAAATAGAAACTATACTGCCGATCTCAATAAAAACTAACAATGATCCACATTAAAAAAAAAAAAAACTTAAAATCCCCATCAAGACAATCAGTTCTCATAGTGTTTTAAACACAAAACTTGGCAACATGATTCTATAATTAAGTTGAAAAAATTGATGACCATGAAACACATCCTAAAAAGAACACTGACGGTAAAGGAGAGTAATTAGATTGCTTGTGGCATTCTCTTTATCAAAGCTTGAAGTATATGCCCAAAGGGTTTGCTCTAATAATCCCACTTCTAGAAAATGTTTTCAAAGAAAAAAAGAATTATAAGTAGGAAGGCACTCGTATTACTATTTTAAAACATAAAACTGGAAACCAAGCAAACAAGGTAATGGCTGAGTAAATATACATCAAATTGGTAAAATATTATGCAACCATTAATATAAACAGGGAAGAACAGTTCATATAGGGAAATACCACAAGGTTAATTTCTAAAAGCTGGTATCTCATGTTATGTTTCATTTATGTGAAAAATATGTAATGGATGCATAGACCAGAAGGGAGCAAGGGAGATAAAATTAAGGGGATTCTCTTCAAACTGCAAGTAATGTTGTAATGTTCTTAAAATTTTTTTTACAGTATCAGTTGTTTTATTTTATTCATAGACTATATACCTATGGCATGGTCAGTAATATTAAAGTTCCTCCAAAACTGATGTTATGGTTACTCCAACTATTTTTCACTTTCTCCAGATTGTAAAATTACTCAAAGTGAAGCAAAGCTAAAACAGTGCAAGTTATTTTGAATGGACTTTTGAGGCAGAGGGATGGGAAAAGAAGGTGGTATTGTGTTAGAATTTATAGGATTGACTCCTATAGGATTTGAGTCCTGTGGCATGACATAAACTTTAAAATAAGAACTCACTCATACCCTACATAGTGGACTGAAACTTGAAAGTGTGAAAAGCCATGTAATAATACTTGGGCACACTACGTCACTGAGACTGTGGACAACTTAATAACAAGCAATAGACAGATATCCCATTTTAGACCTCTTCTACATTTAAGAAGTCAGGGGTTCAAGAACAGAAATGGAATCCCACCTGGACAGAGTGGGAAGTGGCTGAGGCTGTCAGTCATGCTCAGAGGCATTCAGTGCCGGCCACGATACGAACACTTCTGCCTTGTATGTCCAGGCAGCAGCAGATATAAATGCTGACAGAATCTCATGTCATGCTCAATTATGTTTAAATAAATGCACTTTATAGCACAGATACAAAGCCGAGTAAAGAAGACACATTATGATTTCAAACCTGAAAAAAGGGACTGAGTCATGAAAAATTCTTATAAAATATGAGGACAAAAATCAACCAAGTTGTTTTGTTTTAACCACAAGTATTTATTGATGGATCGAAGAATACAATTTTAATGGAACAATAAGGCACAACCGTGGATTAAAACACAGCCAAAAGGAGGAAAAAGCCATCATCTTAGGAACTTTAAATATGCAGGTCAAGAAGCCCCTGAAGTACCTCACTAACAGACCAGTGTTGGACAGTTCTTCCCTTTTATACAATTCCTGTATTACATCACTTGATCACAAAGTCACACTGATACTTCACTATGAAATCCTCTCATTTATACTTGAGTCATCCAGCCTGGCCACTCTTTCTTAAGCACTCTTCCCAAACCCTCTGCAATGTTTTTTTTTAAGCAATCCCCTTCCTAAAGTAGTGTGTATACATCTTGGATAGCCTTCCAAAGCAAGGAAACAAGCAAGCAAGCAATGAGTCAGTGAGAATCAGCCAAGGACAGATATATGGATGAACAGATGCATAAAGATAGATCTTAGGATGACCACAGCCTGATTCAGTGACATATATACTAAGCTGCCTTGGGGCAGAGGAGTTGCTCTGGTTCAAGCAAAGGCTTGTAATGCCACTTCAGGTTGCGTCACCCATGCCAGAGCTCTCATTCCTAAGGGATTAGCAGTAGTCTATGAGAGGAGCTAGGAAGTCAATGTAACCAGGCAGCTAATGATACAATACATTCAATGTTTTGGACCTGTATTAAGAGCTGACTATGGCGTCCAGCATTAACTTGTGCCAGGTGTAAAATTCAGAGAATTTTGTGCAAAACCTCAAGACATTTGAGGACAAGTTTTAAATCTTATGGACTGGGATAAGTTAGGCACTTATCTTTCTACTTAGAAATGTGAAGTGAAAAGCATTCCAGGGAACATCACACTAAGGCATAAACCATGCTGCAGAGGTGGGAATATTTTTAGGGTGCCCAGCCTCCTTGTTCAAAAAGCCATGAGAACGACACCAAGCAAATGGTCAGAGCAGTCATTCTGGTGGTGACATTATCCTCAGACAAAGTAAGCTGCAGACATATGGCTAATTTTTAGAGAATCAACACTGTACTAACAAGAGCAGCCATGTAGGTATGTGTGTTGAGAATCAGAGGCCAGAGGTAGAGCGACCTGGGCAAGCCACCTAGAAGACTTGGCTCTATACCTCTTATCTTTCTTATCTTTCAAGAGCATCTCTAACCAACAGCCCTTTGGTGACAGAGCAGAGGGGACTAAGAGATGGTCAAGACATTCTTCTGAGAGAAGTGTTGGTTACTGAAAAGCTCCTGGGGAGGCAACATCCCAGATACCCATTTAAGAGTAAAGGTAGATTAAAAACTGCCAGACCACTGAACTATACTGCCAAGTCTGAAATATATTTAACAGGCGTAATTGGGGATGCCAAGTAACAGGGAGGATGGAAGCTTAATAAAAACCAGGGATACTGAAAGACTAAGAGAGTGGTAGGTTGGGCAAAAGAGAAGTGGAAGCAAAGGACATATAAAAAAGGATGAAGTGCTCGAGCATGCCAAAGCCAAGCTGGTGGGAAGGCAGCCTGGCTACGGTTCACATCCAGTCAAAGAACTTTGCTGGCTGGTTCTTGGGTTGATTCCCTCTCACTTTCTCAGACTGGATGGACGCATGGTATTCAGCAGCAGAACAAGGGAGGTGACATTTAGAAATGGAGATATCCGGCGAAAAACACTGAACAGAATTAGACTGGGTGTACCATTCTGTAATGCCCTATTTATACACCAAAGGCAGGTTTGCGTTGACGGAACATATTTGGGGTTGTCATGCAACAGCAGTAGTACTTTGGGAGAAGGGGAATGATGGGGTAGAGGTGGGGCTGGTGGATAGGAGGGCTTTCAAGTTCCAGTTCTTAAATACTAGAAAGCAAGGAATAGTTTGGTCTCAGTCCTTTAGTGAAGAAATCGGATGCTCATTTTCTGTTCTACGTCCACCTTCTCCAAAACCTGTTAAAAACAAAAAACAAACAAACCCAGCTACAGTTACAAAGGTTACAACAGGAGATGCTGTGTCAAGCTCTTCTCTAATGTTTTTCTCCCTCTCTCCTGCATAGTAGGATTTGTAAGTGACTGACCTTAACAAATTCTGTGAAAGAGATGGCACTGTCCCCATCCTGATCAGCCTCCTGGATGGTCCTGTCTGCAATGCTGCCCAGCTGCTCATCTGAAATATTCACTCCAACCATCATGCGTAGCACCTACAGGACCGAGAGCCAGGAATTATGAGAGGCTTAGGGGTCACGAGGACTCTCTTACTAAAATTTAAAAAATAAAAAGCCACCCCCACACTCTCTTCCTTTGATGTCCTCTATTCTAACAGCCAAAAAGCCTAAACACATATCTTCTCATCTAGGCCATTTTAGACAATAATATGAGCAGAACTCTTTGGCAAAGTTATTGAATAGGAAGGCAGACCTTCACTTCAGGGAGAGTCCTTTGCATTTTGGTCTTCTCCATTCTTCCTGCCCAGGATGTGGACATGATGCCAAACAACAGTCATCCTGGGACCATTAGATGAAAGTCAAATGTACTGTGGATGCTACAGTAAGAAGAAGCCTGGTTCCTGGACATCATTTAGGTACTGTACGAACCTGGACAATATATTCCCAGGCTTTTTTGTTGCATGAGGCAAATTAGTCACCTATAGGCTTAAGTCAGTTTGATAAGACTTTCTGGAATCTTAACAGAATACAGTTCGCTTTAGCAATGCATTAGCTCAACTATCCCTAAAGTATGGTCAAGGAACATAAAGATCCTTGAGGGGTTAAATACTAAATCCCTTCTTTTAGAAAAATGACAAGCACAGTTAAAGGGCTGTGAGAACTGTGATAAAGAGAATTAAAAAACACTTTCACCAAATTTATCCCCAAACATACCAAAAAAACCACTGGCTCCCCACTTATTCTGCTAACATTTTTAGGGTGTGAATATACATTGAAAATTGCTACCTTAAACAAAACAAACAACTCTTAATAAAATGACTTTTAAAACAACATGAAATGGGGGACAGGGTGCTTTTATGATGCCTTGCATTGCCCTAGTCCACCACCTGTCTTCAACAGGTAAGAGCTGAGCTTTCCCCGAGGAAAGAAAGACTTTCTCAGCCAGCTGTTCACGGGGCTCCCTTTGCCCTATTCCTTTACACCCTTCCCCAATCTCTTAAAATTGATTTTTAAAAGTACATTATGGGATATTATGGGGAAAAAAAAAACAAAACTGAAATACTGATTTGTATCAACACTCCCTGATCCCCAAGTCAATTCTTAAAAACTGGAAGCTGTACATTTGGGGAGAAATGTATACAAATTAAAGGATAAATAAAAAGAGGCAATGATAGCAAAAACTTTAACTGGCCAAGCCATTTGTCATCTTCCTTGTGATTGGCATCCCCAGGTGGCTCAGTGGTAAACATGCCACCTGCCAGTGCAGGAGATGTGGGTTCAATCCCTAGGTCAGGAATATCCCCTGGAGGCGGAAATGGCGACCCATTCCAGTATTTCTGCCTGGGAAATCCCAAGGACAGAGAAGCCTGGCAGGCTACAGTCCATGGGGTTGGAAGAGCCGGACAGGACTTAGCAACTAAGCAATCACGCAGTGACTGTGTGGCCAACTAGACAAATCCATCCTGAAACAGCAGTTTCTTCAGGTCCCAGTCCAATTATTCTCTGAAGTGTTTTGTTTTTAGAATTATAGAGCTGAACTGTGTGTGTGTGTGTGTGTGTGCTGTCTGTGTACGGTGGCCTGTGTATAGGACTGGTGGTGTAAAAATCACTCACCCGCTCTGTCAGTGATGGCACACAGGTCCCAGCAGCGAGTGGCCCACGCTGTCTATCCAGGCCTCCACACCTGGCCAGTGCCCTTCCCACCTCTCCACAGTGTCACTTTTAGCTCCAGTCAGAAGTTTATTAGCAAATGGAACTTTTATTATTCCTGTTTTTAAAATGAGTGATGAGGTTTTCTGTATATATCTGTTATTAGTTTAAGAAAGCTCCCATGTCTCTCTGTTTTAAGACTTAAAAAATCATTAATTGCGGTTGGGGGAAGGAGAGGAAAAAATTGGGAGGCTGGGACTGACATATACATGCTACTCTATATAAAACAGATAACTATTAAGAACCTACTGTATAGCACAGGGAACTCTACTAAAAACTCTGTAATGACCTACATGGGAAAAGAATCTAAAAAAGAGAGGACATACACATGTAACTGACTCACTTTGCTGTACAGCAGAAACTAACATCACACTGTAAATCAACTACACTCCAATAAAAATTTAAAAATTACAAAAAGTATGTTAATATTCCTACCATAAGAAATCATGACTGGATGATGAATTTTATAAAAATCCTATGAAAAAGAACATTCGATTTTTCTTCTTTAATCTGTTAACATGGAGAAATACTACTGGTAGGTTTTCTACTTTTACACCAACTTCAAATTCCTGGTATAAAGCCACCTTGGCTACAATATAGTATTTCTTTTATATATTGCTGGATTTGATGTGTTACTATTTTGTTTTGGATTTATATATCCATGTGAGTAAAAGAGATTGCACTGTAATTTTCTTTTCTTATTATAGTCTTTACAAGATTTTCATGTCCAAGTTATGCTACTCTCATAAAATGAGTATAGCAACTGTCTTTATTGAAGTATAACTGGTATGCAGTAAACTGTACACATTTAAAATGTACAACCTGCTAAGTTCTGACATATGTACATATAATTGCAAAACCATCATCCCAATCAAGATAATAAATATATCCATCACCCTTAAAAGTTCAGTCAGAACTTTTTATAAAAATCAAACTAGGAAAATATGAACACTCAGACTTTCCTTATGACAAAAAGCAAATTTTTTTTTAATATCCACCGAGTAATTAAGAACTGCATATTACCAAATGTTTTAGAAATGGCAGCATTTAGAAAAGTAAATTTTGTAAACTTTGGTAAAATGTTCAATTTCTCTTCTTGCTAGGATAACATTAGTTCTCTGACACCTCAATAATCCATAAGCACATTTGTTCTAAAGTCATTTCAGGCCTGAGGAACACTTTAGTCACTGACTGGCACTCTGGCCACATGATCTCCTCATACCCTGCCGCAGGCTCTTTTATCTTAATAGGAAAAAAGAAAAAATCAACCTTCCATTCCAAAATATATCTGTCTGGCAGCTAGATCTGGACCAGAGGATAAAAACTTGCAACTATAGAGTGATTGCCTCTATTTTTCTCTTCAGAACTCAGAAGCCCATGTGTAGCAATTTTAAATAAAGTGAAATCTTCTTACAAAAAAAGATGTCCCCAATTCAAAACCAAAGGACACAATCATTGACCTGCAGACTGTTTTGGTTTTTACTATGACACAGAAATGTATTAATAGGAATACCCTGGGTTGGTCCTTAATTTCAACTGAGAAGATTTCTCAAAGCAATGAGTTCAGACTCACTTCAAGGTAAGTAGAAAGCACTTTACTTTTTAGTTTTATCTTGAAATAGAGAAATCTCCCCATGGAAATTCCTGAATGTGTTAGCCCCCTAGGATCCTAAAAATTCGTAAAATTTTTTAAAGTTATTTTGTTTGATGTGGACCATTTTTAAAGTCTTAACTGAATTTATTACAATATAGCTTGTGTTTTATGTTTTGGTTTTTTGGCCACGAAGCATGTGGGATCTTAGCTCCCTGACCAGAGATCAGGCCAGCACGCTCTGCACTGGAAGGCAAAGTCTTAACCTCTGGACCTCCAGGGAAGTCCCATGATTCATAAATATTAAAAAAAGGAAAAAGGAGAATTTTCTCTCCTCCTAAACTTGTGTTTAGGAAACGGGCAACAGGGAAAGAGAAGGGCAACAAGAACAGGATGAAACGCCAGTCGTTGCCATTAGGACCGGGAATTATCTATTGGGAGCAACAAAGAACAGTGAACCATGGCTCAGCGGACACTGTCCCAGCAGCAGTTCCCTGACTCTTACTTACATCAGGCCTAAGGACATAAAACAGCCGCATTTACCTAAGTGTCATCAGAATTACCAATAAGCTGATCTGACAATAACTGAACTATCTGATCTAAACCATCTCACATGTTTTAGTGCCAGCCTGCACTTAAAAGATATTTAATTAGCTTTTAAACAATGGAGACATCTGTGAGAACTCAATGAGCCATTTCAAGTTTCCCCAGGTCATCTGTTCTGCTTTATCCTATATATGCAGGACAGGATGCTGCATACAGCAGGTGTTAAAGGCTTACTGAAGGAAAAAACAATTCCTGCCCACATCACCAAGTCAGCAGGGCCCAAACACAAGCTAGCCGTGTGCATTGGAATTCTCCCACATACCTGTAACAGCTCATCACGGGAGATCTTGTCATCTTTATCCAAGTCATACAGTCGAAAAGCAACTGGTAGGAAAAAACAAGAATTTAGTGGAAAGTCAATAATGTTCTGTCCCTTCTCAAAGAAACAAGTATATAAAGGACACCAGGCAGAAAACTGACAATGAATTAATAGTTTTTCCAAGAGCAACTGCCCTTATTTGTAGAGATTTAAAGACACTTGTAACTGATTTTAAGACACTTTAAGGAATTGGGATACATCTCATAAATGATGGCATTTTATCATGGATGAAACACAGCCTTTCATTGGAAAAATAAAATAACTTAATAAATCGAATGTCCTTTTTCTTAACTTAGAATGTTAACCCTCCCTCCCCCACCAAAAAAAACCCAAATCCCATCAGTGATTCTGTCAGTTAGGCCATCTCTACACAGACCATCAAGTCTTCTCCACCGTCAGGGAGAGTCAACAACAGAAGCCATGCAGGCACCAGACAGCAGACCACAGGATGTATTACTGTGGAAAAATGACCACTTTGGCAAATTCGTGTCAAATTTCAAATAACTGTCAACTACAAATTGGCACTTGCCATCTAGCTCTACAAGACTGAATCATGTGCTTCTGCAGCCGCTGATTTTTAACATCCTGTGAATGGAGTTCAGGGTGGAGAGCAGAAATGAGGTACTCTGTGTTCTGGGAAAAACTGGCAGGACAGGTCTTCAAATAGTTAGGTATTTTCAGGAGCTGATTTTATGAGACCAATTCTTGCATCTTCTCATATCTAGAAAAGCACTGAAGTCCTTCATGGTGATGTCTGCTCCTCATGATGAGCATTAACCTTCACAAGACTAGCAGAAACTTTCTACAAAATATATGTGCCTGATTGCAAGTACTCCCCCTTCACCCAAATCACACATACTGGCTTTCCCTGCTGCCTCTTTGGAGCAGTTTCTCAGAGCTATCTGAAATGCTGTGTCCCAGGCTAGTCTTCATTTTGCCTCAAATAAGACTTGACATAATCCTCTTCCACTTGGGAGTCCTGAAGGTAAAGGAACTTGTCTTCAACAGAAAGACCAAGCATTTGGTGGTCTCCTGGCCTCTTCATGCTTCTTCCTCTTTAACAACAGATAGGTAAATCCATGGCTGATTCATGTCAATGCATGGCAAAAACCACTATAATATGTAAAGTAATTAGCCTCCAACTAATAAAAATAAATGGAAAAAAAACCCCGATAGATCTTTCAGAAACTAGGATATTTGAGAGAGAGAATTCAGAAGAGCAGAAATCACTCAGACAGTGTCATGTTCTTAAAGGGCCACCAAGTGAGTAGTGTGGTAACACTGGATGATTTTATAGGCACTGTGAGACATCACACAGAGGACATGACTACCATGTAATAGCTGAATGTTGTACTTTCGAGGGTTTGAATCACTTCAAGTATGCCGCTAAGATTTTTTTGTTTTCAGCAGTGAAAACCAAAAGGTACTGAAGGTACTAAAATTACTGAAAATACCAAAAGGCCCATATCCATTGCTTTATAGTTATCAAGATACACAGATTTAGATCTGGTTCCTTGAAATTCACAATCCAGTAGAGAACACCACACACTATGCACTTTAATACATTCGAAATGCTATCACATATGAAATACCAGGGAACACAGCATACTGCAGATGTGTCTTTCTGCTTCAAGTAACATTTGAACAAGGTATTTAAAGATAAACAGAAATCTGATAAAGGACGGATTCCAAGCAGAGCTAACACTGACAGCAAAGGCTTTACATGGATGAGTATCTACAAGTTTAAACATCACCCCTTGCCTTCCCCAAAAGGAAAAAAAAAAAAAAGAGGGAGGAGGGCGGTGAGTCCACTAAAAGTCCAAGTAAAAATTTTAGAAAAATTCCAATTTACTTTTTGTAAGGTACCTATTAAAATTCTCAAAGGGGGAGATTTTCCCTGATGTTTGTCAGTTTTCTTTAATTTGGTTAGTTGAGTAACTATGTTTACCAAATTTGAGATTTATATGATTAGGAAGTTTTTGACTCCCAGGGAAGGGACAGGATCATAAGTGTTCCAAAATGAATGTGTGTTTAACACAGTTTTACCAACTTGAAAGAGAACAAATGTAATGTACATGAATAACTGTATCACTTTGCTATACACCTGAAACTAACACAACATTGTAAATAAACTATAGTTCAATATAGAATACAAATTTAAACACATACACACACCCCCTCTCTTCTGCATATGCTGTTATCATTCTAAAATACCATAAAATGTGTTATTTGCTAAGAAATGTTTAGGGTGATTTAGGGATAGAAATCTGCTTGCTATATAACCCATAAATATGCTTCTGAATTTCTTAACTGGGTACTGGAATAAACACACTTCTTTCTGACAGAGTATTTAGAGGAATCTGAAAAGCTAATTTTTGAAACCTAGTTGCCATGGACTGAATGTTCCAAATTCTTATGTTGGAACCATAAACTCCGATGTGATGTTATTAGGAGGTAGAACCTTTGGGAAGTAATTAGGGTTAGATTAGCTCATGAGGCTGGGGCCCTCATGAGGAGATTAATGCCCTTATAAAAAGAGGAGACAGGAGATCTCTTTATCCCTCTCTCTGTCTCCACCTCCCTCCCCATGTGAGAAGACAGCAAGAAGACTGTGAACCAGAAGAGGGGCCCCCACCAAGAACACGACCATGTTGGCAACCTAATCTGAGTCCAGTCTTCAGAACCAGGACAAACGTCTGTTTAGGTCACCTAGTCTATGGCATTCTGTTGAAGCAGCTTGAACAGACTAGACAGCCCCAGAGGGGTAACTAGAGAGATCACGTGATAGAATCTTTTAGAAAAAACTGCAGTTAACAGTACTTTCTTAACTGATTTGGACTTCTGTCAATCAGCTCTGGTCCTGAACCAGTAGAACCAGCATTTTCCCCGAGATAACTAATGGTCAAATGCCAAATGACTGGGCTGTTCTGTTAGCTTCTCTCTTTCCTCTCTTCCTGTACATTTCCCCCATTCTTGGTCTGTGACTTGGGACTCTCCTGTCTCCAGAAGTGTAGTTTCTCACCTCGAGCCTCAGGGCTTTACATGCCATCTAATGCTGATGGCTCCCGAATGGGCATCTCCAGCTCGGATCCCTCCTCTGAGCTCCTGATGTTGACATCAGAGCAATACGCACAGTGGTTAAGACTCTGGCTCTGCTGAGTCTTACCTCTGACAGCCTACTTACTATGTCTAAGCGAGTAAGTCACTTAACCTCTCTGTGAACCAGCTGTCCAAGAGCTGCAAGGTGGGAGTAACAGAATCCACCTCAGAGGGTTGAAGACTGAATGCATTAGTACATGAAAGGTGTCTTAAACAGTGTCTGGCACACAGGAAGAGCGCGATCAGTGCCATGTTCCGGCGTCACCTCTCTGCTTTCCTCTTCTCTCCTCTGCCCTGCTCTCACTCTTTCCTTGATCATGCTTCTTTGTTCTCTGAACATCAAGCACTCATTTCTACCCAAGGACCTTTATACCAGTTGTCCCCTCTGCCTAGACCATACTTCTATTCTTGGCATGGTTGGCTCATTCTTAGCTAAAGCTTCAACTCCTCACAAAGGTTTCCCCAACCCCTCACTTTAAAGCAGTGACACCCCCATTCATTTCTCTTCTCACCATATTCATTTTCTTCACAGAAGTTGCCATGATCACAAATTCTGTTTATTCATTTGTCTTTTTCCAAATAGTTTGTCTCCCTTATTGGATCATAAGCTCTATGAAAGTAAGGACCTTTTCTGATTTATGCATCATTGTATCCTGGGCCTAAAATAGTGTCTGGCATTCAATTTGGTTTTAATGAAAGAAAATGAAAGCACTCAGTCAAACCTTTACCTTTTAATCACTGTTACTTCTTTAAAAAAAAAAAAAGTAGTAAAATAAACTTGACCCTTTTAAAGTATACAATTGAGTACTTTCACACTGTTGTGTAAACATCATCACCATCTATCTCCAGAACTTTTTCATCTTCCCCAATTCAAATTCTGACCCATTAAACAATAACTCCCCATTTCCCGCTGCCTCTAGGCCCTGGCAACTTTCTATGAACTTGACTGCTCTAGGAACCTCACACAGGAGAAATCAAATAATATTCATCCTTTTGTGTCAGTCTTATTGTTATTTAGTATCAGGTAAATTTATCCATGTTGTAGCATGTGACAGAATTTCCTTTTTTAAGGCCATTTAATATTTCATTGAATGTACATACCACATTTTGTGTATCCATTCATTTTTGATGGACATCTGGATTGCTCTGACCTTTTGGCCATTGTGAATAATGCTGCTCAGTTTCTTCCTGGCTACTCTCCCAAACTCCACTTCACCAATACTCTTCATCATCCAAATAAAATGTCTTCATGCAGACTCATTTCCCACTTTACTCATTATGTGTTATAAAAAACAAATTACTTCAGAGGACAAATAGAATACCAAAATGGAAGCTTATCGACCACTCCCTTGCTTACCATGCTCTGGAGCATTCTAAGATGGGTTGTACCTTCCATGTAAGACATTATAACCTCAATGACCTGAAGGGACTAATAAGGAACCATTCCTGGAGACAAACAGAATAGCAGTACTATGTGTGCTTGGGCCTGTGCCTACATAGGTATAGCTCAGCCTTATTAATTGTCCTTGACATTCTTTCACTGTGGCATGAAAAACAGATAGGACAAAGCATGCTCTCAGAGTTCCTGAAGAGACTATTCTCTGAGGAAGATGGACTATAAACAAATTTGCCTTAGTAGCAAATGTGTTGCTACGTATATGATATTCAGCTGTTCTCTTCAGTCTACAAGAAGCACCTTCTTGCTGCTTCCACAGCTCTGTGCTAATTCAGAAAAACCAATATATAGACAGAGAAGCAGACATCAAGGACTCCTTCTGTAGCTTTGGTTTCACTGGTCTCCTTACATGAATGTGATCCTAACATACAGGATGCAACCGAATTCTAATTCATATTCAGCTTTCTGTAAAAGTTGATCTGAAAGCCAAGACTAAAGTAATGGTTAAAAACTATTCATAACTTGCACTTGTTATTCTATCTCACCCTAAACTCTGCCATTTCTGTGGCACTCTGGACTTCTCCCTTCCTAACAGAAGCTCATCCATGGCTTAGGGGGCATCCTGTCTGTCTCTGTCTTCCCACTGTCAGATATGAACAGGGAAGCACATGGCCTAAATGCCACTAAAGCCATCGTGTGACCATGAGGAGCCACACCTTTGGATGAAGCAGACCCTAAGGATGGCAGAGCAGAGCAGTAGGAAAAACTTGGGTCCTTGACAACACAATCAACCCTGACACGTGCCCCACTTGACTTGTAAAGTGAGATAATATAGCTCCTTACTGTTGAAGTCAGCTGACTCAGCTGAAGGTATGCTAGCTGATACACTAAGTAACTATCATAGCCACTAATGCTACTTGGAATATTTTCTTTAGAGTCGATGTGAATTAATGAATTCCTTATCCATTCAGTCACTGATGAATACAGGTTGCTTTCTCATCTTAGCTCTTATGAGTAATGCCACCACAAATGTGGATGTACAGATATCTCTCTGAGCCTCTGCATATACCCTTCACCCCAGGCTCTCTGCAGGTAACATCCTGCATAACTGTAACATACCATCAAAACCAAGAAACCAACAGTGGTACACCCCACAGTTTATCCAGGCTTCACCATGTGTACATGTGCATGTGTGTGTAGTTCTATGCAATTCTATCACCTATGTAGTTTCATGTAACCACCACCATAATCGAGATATAGAGCTGCTCTATAGCCAAAGGGCTCCAAATCACATCCTGTTATTTAGCATAGAATAAAGTATCACTGCATCACAAAGTTGTTTTAACATTTTGTTAATTGTATTTTAATATAATTGGTTTTCTTTATAATTGTATGTTTCACTTTATTCTTTTACAAACATTCTGAGGTGAAATTGATAGTATTCACCAGACTGCTAATGGAATTCTTGACTTGAAAAAAGTAGAGCCCATGCTGTAACGGGAATTCAGGTAATAGATCTGTATTACATCTGATAACCTTTAGAGCCTCCTCTAATCCTGGATTAGAAAAGCAAGCATAGTTTTGTAGAGCACAGCATGTCTCTTAACTGTTTTCTCCTTAACCAACTCACTGATCCACAGACACTTCCCTCCCCTCTGCAATTGTTCCAGCTGACAGCACACAGCACGCTTTCTGCCGACGGGCGACTCTGGAGTATCTACTCCACCTGCTGAGTTGGATGCTTACCAAGAGTCAGGTTGTCAACTATCCTAGAATTGCGCTATCTGTAGCTTTCATAAAACTGTATAATTTAATAGGAAATGAAACATGTGAAAAGAAGGTTATTTTTTAAATGAAAATTAGCTTGACAGCTTTTGAAAGACTCAGAATCAAGTCACTGAAGAGAGGGAAAAACAAAACAAAACAAAACAAAACTGTTGTGAAAGGGTGGCAGGACAAATGTAAAAGATGAAGGAAGAAATGTAAATACTTGGAAAATTCTATTCTCAGAATGCTTTCTGAGTACCTTTAAGATCTCTTTCCACTGAAAAGAAACTGTAACCAGAAACCTTAGACTATACATTACAGATAGGTTCTGTGCAAAAATGTCACACAACTCCCATCAATAGAACTTTATTAAAACAAAACAATATATAGTTAAGACTGATTTGCATTGTTGTATGGCAGAAACCAATAAAACACTATAAACCAATTATCCTCCGATTAAAAACTAAATAAATAAAAAGAAAGAAAGAATTCTAAAAAAAAACAAACCCAAACAACTCTTGGTCCTACATCCAAAGGTTGGCCAATGAATGTGCTTTTAAATAGTCTAAGGTAAATTAAAATGTTAAGCCATGTATCCTTTTCTATGCATGCTAAAGCCAACTTTTCCAATTATTGATCAACTCCTGGTCTGACAATATTGAATAAGAAAATAATCTCCTATACTAATGCCAGCATCAGGCAAACTTGTACTAAATATACACTAAACCTCATAAAACATTAAGACACAAGGCTTTGTTTCAAACAGTACTTAGTCTTGAAAGAAGAAAGTGAAATTCACTAATAAACATAGAGTATCCAATAAATTTGAGAATAATTCATCAGAATTCTGTTTTCTTCTATATTCAATTTTGTTTGTATTCGAATTTTTTGCTGTTCACTAAGGTATGTGATTTTGTAGTGAAGAAGAGCAGTGTTTTATTTCTTGGGTTCAAAAACCTTTCTTGTCTTATACAACAATATTTATTTCAGTACTTCTCAAACTCTACCTGAAATAGAGGAGTGAACTCATACTCCTATAGCAAGGGAGATCTGGGGATATGGGCCAAGAGCTACAAATTAAAACTTACCATCTTTCAAATGTATGTAAATTTTGCATTATATCCTTTAGTTTATCCATATTTGTTTCAATGTTATAAAGCCTTTTAATTTTTCTTTAAATCATCTAGTAAAAATTTGGTGGGCTCCCCAGTAAGAGAAGCTCGGGCAAGATCAATTCAATACAATTTCAACTTCAACTTGTGTTAAATGAAAACAGAAATCAATTTTAATTTCTTGTTGAAGTATTATAAGGGATTAGGCAATATCCTACATGAACCAATAAAGGACAGAGGAAAATCTAAGAAGTATCCAAAGAAAGGAGGCAAGAGGCATGGGTAGAAAAATGAGATCTTTCACTAACCTGGCTGTCCACCCCTCTTAAGTGTCATCCCAGCATCTGTCAAATTTTAAGGTGGGCTGGATCTTTTTCACTACTGTCACTCTAGCCCTTGATGAAGATGAAGATCTGTCATCAAATCTTTACAACCTTCCTGTGTGAAACCTCTTAATATCCCATTCTACAGAAAAGGAAACTGCAGTCCAAAGATTTGAAGTAACCTGCCCAAAGTCACAGGGCCAAAAAGTGGCAGTGCTAGGATTCAAATCCAACCAGTTTAGCTCCAGGGTCTGAGCTCTTAACCACTGTGTTTGAATAAATGATTGTTCAGTAAATGAATGAATAAATAAATGATTTGTAAGAAATATTTGTAGGAAAGCAAATATTTTAAGCCAGAAGACTATCTCCTTACAGTGCAGTTTGTTGCTTCGGCTGTTGAGTGGTTCTGGTCCATTCACATCTTTGCTCTTTTCATTATCCTCAATGGGTCGGAAATGAGCCAAGGTTCTCATGAATCCACGGAAGTTCACCTGGTCCTCTCTGATCAAGAAAGATAACAAAAAGAACATGTCAATCAAGGTGATTATTTCTTTTTTTTTTAAGGTGATTATTTCTTATGAATTTAATATATTAACAGTTATAGCTAGAGAGGCCTGAAGGTCCATTTAATGAAGTCTCTTTCCATATGCATGTTACTTTAGAGTTCATACAATATTTTCAGCTGGTCTTGCCACAACCCTTTGAGGTAGGTATTATTATTCTTACTTTATAAATGATTAACCAGACTTAGAAAGGTAATAGGACTTACCAGAGTCAGTTACCTATTAAATTTACTTACATTTCTTTTCCCAAAGAGGACTGTAAGTAGCAGTTAGGCTGTGCTACCAGACAAGCCAACCCTTGAACTCACTGCTTCAGGCTCTGAAGTGAACAGCAAGTTAGCCATTTCAACCCAGCATCTCCCTATCCACCTCGCATATCTCCCCTGTAGTCACATATACCTAGTGATATTTTAAGGTTAAGGCATATTATGCAACAACTGCTTTTGAAATAAAGTTTATTTAGTCACAGAATCAATAAATACATTTTTAAAATTTGATAAAAAGTAGAAAAATACCACTTCTAGTTCTACCAATCAGTTAGAATCATTGTTAATGTATTTTCCAGTAATTTTTCTGTGCTTTTTGGAGAATTGTGAACATACTGCATATGTAATTTTGTAGCTTGCTTTTTTAAAACTTTTAGGCATGTCTCTAACCAATATAAACACTTCAAAACATTTTAACCATATGCATAATCATGTGGCTGCATCATGATTTTATTATTCTCTCACAGTTGGATAGATATTTTCCTCATAATGCTTTGAAAGACCTCTTTATGTATAAAGCTTTTTGGGTACTGAAGATTAGAGAAAATCTTTTTATTGGGCCACAGTTAATCAGTAAACCTTATAAGAAATAATTCTAAAACTTAAATGAATAAAGAATGCTTTTTAATATTGAAAAAGAACGTCCCATGTGAATAGTTATTTATCTAAGGCAGTCATGGAAAGAACAGGTTGTCTGCTTCCTGTGGCTACCTAAAAATAAATCCTAGTCTTTGTTTGTCCCCATTGAATAGATGTGGTATATCGGGTCTCAAGTGCGAGCAGACATACAGATCAGAGACTTTCTAAAAGGTAGAGTTCACAGGTGACGTCATGAACCCTTTGTACTCAAAAGAATGACTTTTCATTACCTCTAAAAAATGTAAGAGTTGAGCAATCATGGAATGTGTAACAAGACTGGAGTCATATGCCAGAACAAATAGGTAAACATATATCACTGACATAATGTCTCTGAGTAAAAGGAAACTAAATACCAACGTCTTACTTTCAAATCTCATTCTATAAAAAAACAAACAAAAAAAAAAACTGAGCGACTTCCCTGGTGATCCAGTGCTTAAGAAGCCACCTGCCAATGCAGGGGACACAGGCTCAATCCCAGGAGGATGCCACATGCCGCAGGGCAATGTAGCCCACACTTGAGAGCACATGCTCTGCAATTACTGAGCTCTAGTGCTACAACTACTGAGGTTCTTAAGCCCTAGAGCCCAGGCAACACAACAAAAGAAATCGCCACAATGAGAAGCCCGTGCACCACAACTACAGAGTAGCCCCAGTTTGCCGCAACTAGAGAAAGACCAAGTGCAGCTAAAGACTCACTGCAGCGAAAATAAATAATTAATTAATTAAAAAAACCAAGCAAACCAAATTGAACCTGCATACGACCTAGAAGTCAAATATCTATTTGTGACAGAGCAAGACGCAGGGGGGGCTTGCCTAGCAGTGTAGCTCAGTGCCATCCTCAGCCTCCTCATACATACCTCGAGTACATCAGCACTTGTGTCCTTAACAAGAGATCAATTAATAAGATGACAGGCACCACTACAGTCACCACAAAGGTGGTCTGGCCTTTATAAAACAGCTTTCCACAGCTGCTTTTTCAAATGATCAATGTGACTAGGGAACACTAAAAAAAAAAAAAAGTTGGCAAAATGACTCTACAGGGTTTACTTTTCACTGCAAAAGGTTTGGAAACAAAACACAGCAGTGAAAGTCATCCCTGGACACGGTTCAATCCTCTGCAAGGGCTAAAAAAAAGAAGCTTAAAAAGACAAGAATTCAGCACTAAAACCACAACTGAAACAAACAGGGCATTTCAGGGAGACAAAAAATCAGAAAATGAGGAAGAATAGATGATTACTCATGGTCAACATGCACCTGAAAAGGGCAGGTCTCAGTCTCATTGAGTCTTCACAGGAACTGGCTGCCAGTCTCCTTCGGCACTCAAGTTTACTGAGGGACCAACTCTCAACTTGCAAATTCTTCTGCTCTCAATTCAGAGTTCTACAATTTCCTCTCCACTATTTTACCTGAGTGTTTTCACTGACACTTTAGTCTCATTAAGAACTGGCAACCATGTAACATTTTAAAGTCCTCTGGGTCTTTAAAGAAGTCACAAGGAACCAAGAAAAGATTGTTAAAGAGATTGCTACTTAAAACAAGAATATATGATAAGCTTTATTCAAGAAAAGGTACCTAATCGATTCAGTAAATATTGATTCAGTAAATATTGAAGGCAGTATATTAGGTTTAGTGAAGCACATCAAATGCCTAGTTTTAATTACACAAACCTAAATCTGTTTGAGAAAGTATGTGTGTGGTAGGGCAACTATATCCTTAGCCAATGTCAGAAAAGAAAAGTAACATTCTGGATTAAAGGGGGCTAAGAATAACAACTGAACCACACTGGATCCTATGGTGGAGGAAGGAGATTGTTGGATAATATCAATAATATATTAGAATAAAGTAGATTATAGGGGAAGTGGATGAAGGTGGTCAAAAGGTATCAAATTCTAATTATAAGATAAATATATTCTGGGGGTGAAATATACACCCTAGTGATTATAGATAACAACACTGAATTGTATCTTTGAAAGCTGCTAAGAGAGATCTTGAAAGTTTTTATCACAAGAAAAAATAACTATATGCGATGATGAATGTGTTCATTAATATTACTATGGTTATCATTTTTCAATATATACATATATAAAATCACTATGTTATACTCCTTAAATTTATACAATGTTACATGTCAGTCACATTTCAATAAAGCTGGAAAAAACATATTTTATATTAATATTCTTTTAGTACTTGATAGGTATGGTTAAGTATAAATTACACAATAGTTGCCAGACTTCTTATGAAAAAGAATATATACTACAATAATTTAAAAATACTGATTTACACATTTTGGATATATCAGGGTTAAATAAAATATGTATTGCCAAAGTTAATTTAGCTTGTTCATCCAAAATTAATTTAATTTGTTTATTTTTACTTTTTAAAATGTGACTACTAAAAAATTTGTAGTAACTCTGTATCTGGCTTGAACGATGTTTTTATTGGCTAGGACTGAGACAGAGAGCACTCACAAATGAGGCAAAATATGAACAATACAACAACAGATGCATCTGGGTAAACACATACAAGTGTTCGTCATACTATTTGCAAATTCTGCAACTTTTCTATAAATTTCAAATTATCTCTATAGTTTTTAAAATGTTTCATTTTACATCAAAGATAGACATTAAAGACAGAACTGTGAAAATGGGCTAACTAACATACCTATTTGAAGTTTGAAACAGGGAGAGGATAGAGATATTGTAGATATGATTGAGGAACGTCCAATAGGAGGAAGATCATGGTCTGAGATGACCCAACCAATATCAATACTCCAGATTAGCCTCCAAAAGGAAGTCCAACAACTGCAGGGACTCACCCCTCTGGAAAGAAGGCATTGATGATCCGGTCCCCCAATGGGTTGATGGCAAGTTCTGGAATCCGCTGAAAGTCTTCCCGGCTGCCAAGAGAATCACCTTGGGTTAGAGACCATTGGCCCTTGCATGAACTCCTTCAGTCATGCAAGAGTACAACCGAGCAAGAATATTACCTCCTGGAATTTACTTCTGTGGCAAATTATACCAAATAACTGCAAGGAATAGCACTTTAATAGCTGCCAAGTGTTTCTTGCACCAGCTGAGGAGTGGAAGAAGCCAGATTTGACTATGTCACATTCCAATGAATTCAGCGCACAGGTTATGTCAGTAAATCAACCAACAAGCAAATACTAAGCTGTCCTTGTAAATGATTCTTTGAACATGACTATTTTGCATTTAGTTATTAAGTTTGTAGAATGAACAGCAACTGTGAAGTATCAAACACCAAAGAGCTTGAACATGGGAGGAAAAATTCAGAGGGGCCGCTGTACCCTTGGTAAGAAGATATACATACAGCACTTAAGAAATCAAGGAATTCTTAGATGATATTTATATCTCAGTAGAGAACAAAATGTGATAACTGATTCCATGCTTCCTTGCTCTGATTTGACTCTTCTCCAGTGCCTTCTACAGGCTAGAGCTAGAGAAGTATTTAACCCTTGAACATGGCAAGAGCAGTCATCCTGTCACAACCTGAAGTCTGTTAAAGTGAATATTGTTAGTTTCCATTCACCCTATACACATCATGTGCTACTGTTAATATACTTTGTCTCATTTTTTCATGTCACCACTTTATCTGTACCCTTTCAGAGCTGAGGAAGTTGTGAGTCGGTGACTAAAGTAACCTGTCCGCGTTACAAAGGTAAAAAGTGGAAGAACTGCAATTTAAAACTAAGTCTGTGACTAAATAACAACTGTAAGTTAAAACATATGCTCTTTTCCCTAAAAAACCTACACTTCTTTCCCATATTAAATAAACTTTTTGAAAGAAAGGTACTCTCCCCAAAAATGTTTAGTAACTATTTTCTTAAAAAAACAATTCCTGGGTTGGTATCCTATACCAGACATATGAAGCTATCTACAACAGAGACAATATATCTATAAAATATCAATGTCATGAAGGACAGAGAAAGGCAGAGGCTTGTTCGAGATCAAAGAGAAATGACTAAAGAGACATACAACTGAACTCAATGCATGATCCTAGACTAGGGGAAAAAAACTTGTGAAGGATATTACTGAGTCAATAGATAAATGTGGAATATGGGCCATATAGAATACAGAATTTTATATAATGCATAGAAAGTGCTAAATTTATTGATTTTGATATGAGAATCTCCTAGTTATAGGGAATACACACTAAAGTACATGGCAAAGTGTTAACAAGTGGTAAATCTGGGTACTGGTTATATGAAGTTCTTTGCATTATTTTTGTAACTTTTCTGTAGGTTTGCAATTATTTCCAAATAAGAAGGGGGTAAAAAGGAATATAAACTCAAAAAAATGATTCCTGCTTTTAAGACGTTTACTAATAGAAGAGATAAAACATTCCTCTACCTTCTCTGTACTAGATGCTAACAAAATGTTCATATTTTACCCAGGGGCCTTCAACTCTCTCTCTGATCCTCTTGTGGTTTAACATTTACAAGGTGCTTAATTAATTAATTAAACAACACCACATCTGGTGGCGACAAAGGTAAGAAATGACCTAGGGGACTAAGCGCAAAGCTCTGGTACAATAACTCTGGATTCTAATCTTCCATCATTTAGAGTAGTAATTTTTACACCAATAAATGAACTAGAAGAAGACATTCATAAGATAACTGAGTTGCTTAAAATTATTAAAGAAAATTATGGAGGTCATGATTATATAATTCAACAAACATGTACTAAGCTCTTATATATAATATGTTCTGTAACACAAAGTCCACATTATCAACACAATGTAAGCTCCTCTTGTTTGACACAGGTTAAGAAATAACTACTTCCTTTTAAATGAAGATTAAGGCTAATGTGAATTGCAAGGCCACATACCTCAGTTTAATGTCTAACAAGCTTAAGTAATTTTAGCTGCAAAAAGACACAATTTAAAATATCAGGTCTAGTGTTAAGTGGTGAGTTCACAATCTAGACTGACACTGTCAGTCTCCATGAGGAATCTAGTCATGGATTTCCAACATCAGTAAGGTTCCAAACACTGTCTTTTGACATTTTTTAAACTCTATTCTTAGAATTTAGATTGTATATGCAACGAGGTCTCTAAGATCAAGGGGAATACAGCTGAAAATATCAATACAAAAATGAAAGAGTATCAAGAAACAGTTTATAAACTATTAAACAATATACAGTTTATTATTGTTGACTGTTCTTGATAAAATGATCGTGGTTTTCTGTTTTATAACAGAATTTTTCATATAAAGTGCCAAAGTTGTAAACCCAGGCTTTGCTCCTTATTTTAGTATTCTAGGGCCAGTCACTTATTTGCAAAGCTGCATCTGACTTTTGGTTGAGAAAGTGATCACACACACGTTTACCTCCTCTCATTCTCTAAACCCCTCTGAAATGTCAGTAAAAATTTACACATGGGAATACAGCCATGACATAAACAATCAGGGTGGGAGGAGTATGTTAGTAGACAAGGAATTCTGACAAATTCTGGAAGTTAGAAAACAGACACAAATGTAGTGATCAGTCAGTCAGAGTAGAAGGTCATGAAACTGCGTAAGAGTTGAGAGCCATTCTGCCCTGCAGCCTCAGCAAGGCACCACACTCAGAACTGACAGGCAAGGGAAGTATTAACAGCATTCAGGGAACTTAATTACCGGAACTTTTAAAGAATGGGCCAGCTGCCCAGTGCTGCCAGCACCCATCCCAGGAACAGAAAACCATTTGTCCCCAGGATTAAAATGGGGAGCTGCTACAAAAAGAAACTGGAAGAGCCACCTGGGCAGGGTTGTGGCCAAGCACGGGAGGCTGGCTCCCCAAACGCAGTCCTTTCATTGGGGGGACTGCAAATCTGTCCCCTGGCTCCCAAACGCAGTCCTTTCATTGGGGGGACTGCAAATCTGTCCCCTGGCTCCCAAACGCAGTCCTTTCATTGGGGGGGAACTGCAAATCTGTCCCCTGGCTCCCAAACGCAGTCCTTTCATTGGAGGGAACTGCAAATCTGTCCCCTGGCTCCCAAACGCAGTCCTTTCATTGGGGGGGACTGCAAATCTGTCCCCTGGCTCCCAAACGCAGTCCTTTCATTGGAGGGAACTGCAAATCTGTCCCCTGGCTCCCAAACGCAGTCCTTTCATTGGGGGGGACTGCAAATCTGTCCCCTGGCTCCCAAACGCAGTCCTTTCATTGGAGGGAACTGCAAATCTGTCCCCTGGCTCCCAAATGCAGTCCTTTCATTGGGGGGGGACTGCAAATCCGTCCCCTGGCTCCCAAACGCAGTCCTTTCATTGTGGGGGACTGCAAATCCGTCCCCTGGCTCCCCAAACGCAGTCCTTTCATTGGAGGGAACTGCAAATCCGTCCCCTGGCTCCCAAACGCAGTCCTTTCATTGGAGGGAACTGCAAATCCGTCCCCTGGCTCCCAAACGCAGTCCTTTCATTGGAGGGAACTGCAAATCCGTCCCCTGGCTCCCCAAATGCAGTCCTTTCATTGGGGGGAACTGCAAATCCGTCCCCTGGCTCCCCAAACGCAGTCCTTTCATTGGGGGGAACTGCAAATCCATCCCCTGGCTCCCCAAACGCAGTCCTTTCATTGGGGCGAACTGCAAATCCGTCCCCTGGCTCCCAAACGCAGTCCTTTCATTGGGGGGGGAACTGCAAATCCGTCCCCTGGCTCCCAAACGCAGTCCTTTCATTGGGGGGGAACTGCAAATCTGTCCCCTGGCTCCCTAACCGCATGCCCTAAAGTAAGGCCTACCAACTTACTGGTCCTGCCCAGAGTATAGAAGCCTTGATGTCAGTCCTTCCATCCCGGGAAAGACCTGTGAGAAACCAACCACAAACAAGCCTATGCCCATTTTCTACATTAACCCATCCAGGTTTTTTCATAAATAGGAATGGACAATAAAGGCTCACCAGCATTTTGGAAAAATTAGTAACATAAAAGAGTAAGATCAAGATGAAAAGCATGCACGTATGCTCAGTTGTGTCTGACTCTTTGCAACTCCATGGACTGTAGCCTGCCAGGCTCCTCTGTCTATGAGATTCTCCAGGCAAGAATACTGGAGTGGGTTACCATTTCGTCCTCCAGGGGATCCTCCCCATCCCAGGATTGAACATGTGTCTCCTGCACTGGCAGGCAGATTCTTTACCACTGAGTACCTGGGAAGCCCCAAGATGAATAGATGTAATGATAATTCAGGGAACAAGAGAGAGTCTGAAATAGTCTAATAAGTAACCCAATAGACATTTGATAAGTTTTGGCATCTATAAAACAAATATAAGCTACTGTGATAGAGCAGAGGTCAGAGAACAAGAAAGTTTCTTGGAAATTAAAAATGTGATTGTAGACAAGGTCATCAAAAGGTTTATAAAATAAATTTGAGGATACCTTCCAGAAAGCAAAGGGAAAAAATCAGTCAGAAAATATCAGAAAACTGAGTCATGATGGTCCAATAGCCAACCAACAGAAAAGGCGTAAAAATCAGTAAGAAAGAAGGAGGGGCGGAAATAAGCAAATAACAGAGGAAAACTTTCCAGCCAAAGGACACATTTTTAGATTGAGAAAGTTCACCTAATATCGAGCAATGAATAATGAAAAATAACCCACAAAAAGATACAATTTTGTGAAATTTCAGAACATCAGGAAGATATATTTGAAGCTTTCAAGAGAGAAAAAAAAAAAGATTACCTACTATAATAAAAGAATGAGAATTAGATTGGCATCATGGTTCTCATCTGCGAAACTCCATTATGGCATGACTGAGAGCACTCTGTACAAAGCAAGAGCTTATCCAGGATATTGAAATCATCTATCCTCTGGATAAAGTCAAACAAGAAAATGAATCTCAAAGGCACTCAGTTTTTAAGCAGATAAATGGCTACCACTTTGGACAACAATCTCTTAAAAATTACAGGTAATCTTT